TGTGTATCTACAAGAATCTGACATTGGAGCCGAAAATGATCCTGAGTCTTTTTCACAAGCTATGAGTTGTAAAGAATCAGAACTGTGGTACAATGCCATGAAAGAAGAGATGAATTCCATGAAAAGTAACGAGGTATGGGATCTTGTTGAGTTGCCTGGTGTTGTAAAAGCCATTAGATGTAAATGGGTCTTTAAGACTAAAAGAGACTCATTAGGCAACATAGAGAGATATAAGGCAAGACTCGTTGCAAAAGGATTCACTCAAAAGGAAGGAATCGATTATACGGAGACTTTTTCTACTGTATCTAAGAAAGATTCCTTGCGCATCATGTTGGCATTAATAGCCCATTTTGACTTAAAATTACAACAAATGGATGTGAAAATTGCATTTCTCAATAGTGATCTAGAGGAAGAGGTTTATATGAAATAATCTAAAGGATTCCCTTCTAGTAATGGTGAGCACATGGTATGCAAGCTAAAGAAATCCATATATGGATTGAAACAAGTCCCATCAATGGTATTTAAAATTTCATGATGTAATCTCTTCATTTGGCTTTGTTGAGAACATTATGGATCAATGTATATACCAAAAGGTCAGTGGGAGTAAAATTTATTTTCTAATTCTATATGTGGATGATATTCTTCTTGCAGCCAATGATAAGGGAATGCTATATGAGGTGAAACAATTTCTCTCTCAAAATTTTGATATGAAAGATATGGGTGATGCATCTTATGTCATTGGCATTAAGATTCATCGAGATAGACATCAAGGTATTTTAGGTTTATCTCAAGAAAACTATATCAACAAAGTTTTAGAGAGGTTTCGGATGAAGGATTGTTCACCAAGTGTAGCTCCCATAGTAAAGAGTGACAAGTTCAATTTGAACCAGTGCCCGAAGAACGACCTTGAGAGGGAACAAATGAAAAACATAACATATGCTTCTGTTGTTGGAAGCTTAATGTATGCTCAGATTTGCACTAGCCTGATATTGCATTTGTTGTTGGAATGTTGAGAAGATATCAGAGTAATCCAGGTCTTGACCACTGGAAAGATGCAAAGAAAGTCTTAAGATACCTTCAAGGGACAAAAGACTACATGCTTATGTACAAACGATCAGACATTTTAGAGGTAATTGGCTACTCTGATTCAGACTTTGTTGGCTGTGTTGATTCATGCAAATAGGATACGTTTTTATGTTGGCCGGTGGAGCTATATCATGGAGGAGTTCCAAGCAGGCTCTAACTGCTACTTTCACTATGGAGGCTGAGTTCGTTTCTTGTTTTGAGGCTACCTCACATGGTGTATGGTTGAAGAGTTTCATTTCGGGGCTTAGAATTGCTGATTCGATCTCTAGGCCATTGAGGATATATTGTGACAATTCAGTTGCTGTCTTTATGGCTAAGAATAACAAAAGTGGGAGTCGAAGTAAGCATATCGACATTAAGTATCTAGCCATAAGAGAACGTATTAAAGACAAAAAAGTGATCATTGAGCACATTAGCACTAAATTGATGTTAGCTGATAACTAAAGGCATGCCACCACAAAAATTTAAGAGCCCGTTTGGACAAAAATAATTCCAAAAAAATTTTACTTTTTTCGAAATCAGCATTTGTTCATAAAATTTCCAATTTTCACTTGAAGATGCATTTTCAAAATTTTTGAAAATTTGAAAAACTCCAAAAAACTGTTTTGTAAAATTTTTACTCACAAAACTTCAAAAACAACCCAAAATTATATTCATGTCCAAACACAACTCTAAATTTCAAATACCATTTTCACTTGAAAAAAATTTCGCCATGTTTTGGAATTTTACAATTCTTATGTCCAAACGCCCACTAAGGATCATGTAATTACAATGGGACTTGGTTCCACTATGTCAATTTCGTTATAACAACAAATATTGATGAAACTCTATTATCGTATGAAATTTCTCATATTGTTATTGTGTACACATTCAGTTATTTTGAGAAATATCACTAAAGTATGAACCTAGAATAAATATTGGGTTTATTCATGGATTAGTTACCTCCTATAGCAAAGGTTGATACCTTATTTATTTTAAATAAATACCCTTTTAAAAAATTATATTCCATAGCAACCTTTTGATTTTTTATAGCCAAATATCTATTTATGGTCACCTCCTATCCTTAAGCCATAAAATAAGCTTTGTATTATTTTTCTCTCTCATATCCCCTCAAATTTCTCCTATCCTCTACCCCATATCTATTCTCCCTCTCTCTCTCTCTACTTCTCGATGTCTTCTCCTCCGCCGGATCAAGGCTGAAGATGAAGGCACTAGACTTCGGCTTCTGTTGGTGCTACTTTTAATAAGCGGCGGAGAACACGACTTCTCCTCCGAAGATGGAGAAGAATCCGTCGATGGAGGCAGTCTATTAGAGCGGCTTCTAAGTTTCTTCTTCTCCCCTTCATCACATGCTTTGTCTTCAATCCGATAATTACGTGCTAATCGTTGGCAATCGGATGCAACGGTGACGGCGAGCGAGGACTGGATATTGATGCTGCTTTAACGAGACGACATTAGGGTTGTTCTTGAACAAAGACGACGGAATTGGAGGCCGAGCAACTTGAATTTTCTGTTAATATATTTCAATGTATCTCGCTGTATTTCATTGTATTCATTGTCTTTTTTTTTCATTGTATTTCAATATATCTCGTTGTATTCTATGTGTTTTATTGTATTCATTATCTTTTTTTCATTGTATTTCAATGTATCCCGCTGTATTCTATGTATTTCATTGTATTCACTTTCTCGCTATATTCCATGAATGTATTCATATATTTTTTTTTAATTAATTAAATTTATGTATTCAGACGTATTATATAATTTCTCTGAAGATTGCTATATTTTTAGGGTGTTTTTCGGTTGAGAATCTTTTTTATAACTGGAAATACAAAATTTGTGTGTTATAATTGAGTTTGTTGAGTTATATTAGGAGTCTATTATGTTAATTGATTCACTTTCCGTTTAAAAACAGTGTAATCCCCTGTTTCACGCCATGAATACAGTCAAATACAATAATTTGTCCAGCCGTAATCCCATGTTTCACGCCACGAATACAGTCGAATATACTCGAATACAAAAATTTATCTAGCTGTAATCCCCTGTTTCACGCCTAGAAATGCTGCTGTATTCATGAATATAGTAGCTTAAATACATCGAATACACTCTAAAAAAATCTGAAAACATAGCTATACGAAGTAATATAGTAAATGGTAGCTACAACTAGCTAATAACCACTAAAATATAGTAGTTTCTGAAAGTTTCTCGTTATTCATTAAGAAATATGGGCTTAGATTTAGAGGCATATTGCATTGTGATACATGGAAGATACTACTCGATTTTAGAGGAACTATTGTCGTGATTCATGTATTATGATTCTCTTTAAGGTATTAGTACTATGACTTGGGCATTAATTATACGGACCAAGTGGGAGAATGTTAGTAACGTCCTCTATTGAATGTGTCATAAAGATGGTCCGTTTAATTTGAACTAGTTGAAACTTCATTTCAACTTAATTATTTGAAACTGTCCATTGTCATAAAGAAACTATTGCCCCTTATACATCTGAAAAAGTAACTTTTCTTGATGGAAGAACAGTATAAAAGGAGAAACTATGGATTGGGTCCCTAAGCACAGAAAAACCCTCTTAATTACTACACCAAGTGAGAATTTCTGAAGTGCTTAGAAGACTCAACGGAGGAAAACATCGATCGCCGACGACACCGTAACAATGGCTGAAGGTATGTTCGATCTTTTGTTTCCGCTGTGCACTGCTCTTACATGATTAGGATGGGAATTATGCTGGATTTTTCTTGGTAATTCGAAGCATGATTTGTGAAGGGTGAATTCACAATTAGGTTTGGTGCATTTGTAAGAAGTGCCAGAAAGTTTATTCTCACAACCTGAGCAGATTAATTATATGTCATTTGTTTCTTGAACTTCAGAGAGTTCCAAGGCATGGGGGTGGCTGAAATGCTTCATTTTTTTTAATTTTTTTTTTTTTTTTGGCTTATTCGTTAAACACTTAGTACTAGTGTGGTTTTAAGTATTCTGTAAGTGATATACATAGCATGTTAAATATGGAAATCTTGGCAAGTTGGTGACATGAAAGTCAAATATTGAGGTTCAAGGAATTTACGTTTGTGGAAAATTTTACGGGGTATAATGAGTTGACTAATCACTCTTCGTGCTTCCAAATTTGGACATTTGAAATATCGTAAGCAAGTTGAGTGATTAAAAAGTCAAAGATGAACATAGACTTTGGACTTTAATTGGATTGGATCAGCTTGTGCTACTATAGCAAGTTGCTTATTGACCCTACGTGCTACATTTTGGAGCAACTCTTTTTTCTTTCTTTCTTTCTTTTTTTTTTTTTTTTGGGGGGGGGGGGGAGGAGGATATTTCAAAATAAAATTGCTCCTAAATGTTATGTTTAACGTTACTAGACGTTTTAATTGTCAATTAGTTTATTTCTTCCTTAAAATAAAGAAAATTAAAAGTTAACTTTTTGGCTGCGACCATTTCCATTTTCCTTTTAGAAGTTAACTTCCTGGAAATGAAATCTAGGAAATGCTTAAACTTGCTAACTGGAACAACATTCAATATCCTAAATAAGTGATATCTAACATCGAAGGAAGGCCAGTGCCTCATAGAAATGACATCAGGTAGCCACTCTAAGGGGCTGTTATTTAGGAATTAGTTTTTCTGAATTTCAGTTTTTTAGTTCATATTTGGGACAAAAATGTCCTGAATCTATGAGAAAAATAAGTTGTACGCTACATCTCGCTTAAACCACACTTTGCACCAAGTCACATGCATCTCATTGTCCATAGACTCTACGCTTAACAATAAATATTTCACCGAATAGTAATCTTTCAAGAATTTGTTGTCTATCTAATTGGTGTTTGAGTCTATAGATATTACTCTTGAATAACATAGTATATTTTTTATATTTCCTTAAACTGCACATGTGTTCATAACAAAATGACGAAGTACGTACTTTCATTAATGGCATCAAGCACATGCAAAAAGAACAAAAGATGATCACTACATAAAGATAGTTTCATCTCCGATACAAGTTTGCTAAGGTAGATACAAGGAGCCAACAAAATCCAAAAATTGCTCAGGGGAATTTACAAGGGAAAAATTACACCAACAAAAAGGAAACAAAAGAGATCTAGCAATGAGAGCTAGATCCATGCTTTACTTACGCTTGCGCTTAACGCCCCAACTGGCTTCCGTGCTTCTTTGCTTTTTCCCTTGGATAACACGGGCAGTTGAAGAACCTTGACCCTGCCATTAGAGAAAAGAGCAAAAAATAACTTTGATAATTACAATAACAAACAAGTTGACTTAATAAATTCAGGTTACTTCAAAAATATATAAATTGTTAAAATGCAGTGAGACTTCGAAGTAAGATGAACTTCTTGATGAAAATATGGCTAGTTATTAGCTCCACAGAATTACAAGATCAACTTTCAGAAAATCCTCTGAAGACATAACAAAACACAAATAACCAAGTTCAATTTTCAGACTTTCCCCAACATTATATCTTATTGTATTTACAATTTTCTGTGTTCATTTTTGTATGATTCCAGAGGCTAAGGTGTGCAAATCAACTACTCAGCACAATTTCAGAAGCTTAAAGAATAATGTATTCAAAGATTTAAGTTTACATATTCTACAGAGTGTCAAGCAAGTGGCCAAGCCAAAATACCACATTAACCTCAATCAGACATGACCAGGCTTTTCTATAATATTTCCAGGGGTAAGTGGAGTAAACAAGAGCGTTCAAATAGATAAATACCTGACTCACAGCTTAGAACTGTCTCCAACAGACAGAATATCCAAAATGCAACAAGCTACAAAAAAGTGTTTGGAAGCATAGGACCTATTTACATTGGCAACATGATCCCAGGTAGCAAGCATTCCAGAATAAGGTCATCAAGGCTGGAGTTAGTTAATACCACATATGTAGACCTGAAGAATTTACATGACTACAACCCTCCCTACCCTCCTCTAAATCCAATCAAATCAGCTCCAGCATTTGTCCAGCTGCCGTTGAGAAATAGAAAAATCAAATTGCACTTTACTCTGGTGGTATGCTTCTTGTTCTAGGTAAAGTGAGGGGTCAGGTATGAGAGACCACATAAGAAGCCGTGCTGACTTGCTATATCATAGGCGTAACTTACTTGTCCTTAGGATACGTGTATGGTCTTGGATTGGGCTACCTCACAAGGTCCTCAGAGTAAAAAAGTCAGCGTCTTTTACAGGAACACGTGTTATTTTTTAAGTTATTTTCTGTAAATAAAAAGCAGCCACCAAGAACATTTCCTCTTAAAGTTTTCTCTTTTTATTCAAAAATTGACACCCCCAGTTGTATTACATTTTCTAGCATATGTGTTTAGTATGCCTTCCTTTGCCATATTTAGGGGTCCGTCACCATTTTCAATGTCAATACCTTCTATCTTCAACATCATAGTTGACCTCTATGCTTTTTCCTTTTTCGTCTTTTTAATAACGTATTGCACATTCTACCTAATTAAATAAACAGTTATTATGAACTTGTTTTTCAAAAAAAACCTTTCCATTTATACAGATCATTTGACAGTGAGATCTGCTCAACAAACAAAGCATCTCAGGTAAATGCCGTTGTCTTAATGCACGTCAATTATACAATGTTCGGAAACCATATAAACCATGCAGGCAATGTGGTAAGTTCTGCTGGTGTTGGAATGTGGTAAGACTTCAACCTTCATCCATCTAAACAACTAACCAGTTACAACCTCTTTTTTAGCAGTAAGCATAGCTTAACAACTGAATTACTAAAATGCAACTCGTTCAAGCGTATGGTACTACCATATGTTGCTGCTTGCTCCTGATTAATACTTACTCTTTAGTTTATTGATCTCTTCCCTATTTCAGAAGTGATCATTTGTGTTCATTGTTTAACATAGAAAAAGAAAATTAGAAAAAAAGAAAAAAGAAAGGAAGAGAAAACATATTGGAAGGGCTAATCAGCAAACTAGATTGGCAGTACTGGACCGGCGATAGAAGTTCCAGCCCAGATTAATACTGGCAACCTGGGATACACCAAGATTAATGGCGTTCCCAAACCATGAGTTCCCAATAGCTCTTATATTTCATACTGGCAACCTGGCATACACCAAGATTAATGACGTTTCCAAACCATGAGTTCCCAATAGCTCTTATATTTCATACTGGCAACCTGGCATACACCAAGATCAGTGGTGTTTCCAATCCATGAGTCACAGATGCGTGTTCTTGTTTCTAACCATACTTTACAAGCCATAATTTTTTCTGAAATCAGATTTGTCTTACGACATATAGCAGCCCATAAATTGTCTTAAGTACAAGAGTCTTTTATGCGGTTTTTAATGGCAGGAAAGCAGGACTAAGTTGCCAATTGGACACTAAAACTCTTTTTTCTGCAATATCATGTCTCACGCCATTAGCTGCTAATTAATATGTAACAGTTACTTAGGACACACAGCAATGCATTGAAGTGAAGGTTGTGAATAGAAAAAGGAGTGGGAGCTCAAAAGATCACATTAAGAGACTCAATCTTATTTAAAATAATGATCAGGCAGCAAAGCAGAAAAAGAACAATACCTGTTGCATTCTGACCATTAGAGCAGCCATCTCCATCTTATCTTGGATCCTTTTGTCCATTTCTAATCGCATTTGTTTACGCTCCTCTTCCATCTGCTCTTGAAACCTTTTGTCCATTTCAGCTCGCATTTGTTCACGTTCTTCTTGCAACTTTCGCTCCATGTCAGCTTGCATCTCATGACGCACACTTTCTATTGCAGAAGACAGGCTAGACCCCAAGTCTGCCTGTTGCATGCAGCTCTTTTTGGGAGGCTTTTTTCCATAACCTTTTCCACGAACATAGCCTGTTCTCTCGCCAAGTACAATGGCTAAAATCTCATCTCCATTCATTGGACTGTCGTTTTCTTCATATTCTTGCTGACCCACAAGTTCCTGGATCTGGTCCTGCAATTATGCATGACCATTTATAATTAACATATAATAACAAATATATAAAATAATAAGCCAATGATTTTCGGAAATTACATGAATTTGTTGAGATCGTGGATCTGACCACAGCAGTTCTCCTTTATCATTCTTACGCGTATGTTGGAGCTCCCAGACACGATCTGGCGGTGCCTTCTCTCCAGTCAGAGGATCCCTCTACAATATATTTCAGTAGAGGAAAACACATGTGAGCACCTAATTCGGCATAAATAAATAACAAAGAAGTGTATGATTGTTAAAGTAAATGCATTTTCACCGTAGATTCCTCTACTTCTGCAAAAGACTTTGAGCCACATGAATGCTTAGTTGTTTGCTTTTTCCTGTTTGTTTTGTTTCTCTCGCTTACAGCCTGCAATTCAGGCAATAGATTAAGAAACCAATATCCAAATGATAATATACCAAACATTCTTTTATCAAACTACCTTGAATGTCGGACTTCCAAAATATTGTACCAGAAATTCCCAATCCTCAGGCATAACATCTTTTGGCGGATGGGACAGTCTCTCCTCATCAGTATTATAACGTAAGTATTCAGCATGCAACCGAGTCTTCCACGTTCTAAAAAGCCTTTGCATAGTGCTGGCTACAAAACCTTGCAACACATGCTCTCCCCTACCGCCACCAACTTCAAATTTCTCCTGAAATATGTATATGAAGTTATAACTTTCTTTTTGAGAGGTGAGGTAATTTTATAAATAAACCAGCATAAAGAAAGTTACAATTGTTATCCTAACAGCATAAATAATGCATGATTTATAGAATCAAATATTGATAGTAAATTAGTAACATATTACCTGAACCTTCAGCCACATCGTTTGTCCATGCTTTGCAAAAATTTTTGCCCACTCACCATCTCTGAACGAGATAGTGCTCCTCATGATCAAGCCACAATAATTAACAATATCCCTAGCCCCGGGACCCACAGCTCTATCGATGTCATCCGGAATGTAAACTGTGATTTTGCTACCACACTGAGTTTTCATATCCACGTGTACGGATCTATATTTTCCCCTGCCTTTCTTAGTATTGCTGAAAGAAACTGCGAAGCAAGAAATATAGGACAATTAGAAAACTTTACAGCAAGAGATATATTATACAGATTACAAAAGAAAAACAGAAACCAGCTGATACTGATTAAAAAATTGAAGTTTTTTTCTGTCTAAGCTAAACTAAATGATTACTTTTTTCCCCACCGCAGCAGCCTGCATCTGGAACTGGTTATAAGCCAATAGCTTTACCAGCTGAGAAAGGGAGAACATATATATACACCTTTCAGAACAATTCCAAAGCAATCCAACAGAGATATGGCTGGCAAGAATTATAAGAGATCTTGAGGGTACTTTCCAGAGATGGTGGTTCGTGTAAGCTGTGGTGATATATCCAGATATCATTTAGTTTAATAGATAAAGTATCAACAGTTTCAGCAAAATGACTCAAAAATATAGCTCCTCCTATCATGGTTGTCCATGCTATTGAACTGATATATAGCTCATTCTGTTGACAACAGATACCAAGAAAAAACTTGCTTATTACAGAAAAAATAAGTTTTATGCCAGCACACCACATGAGTAGATTACAGCATCAAGAAGCACAAATTTCAGAGAAGATACTGCTAACTTCTTTGTCATTATGTGACTGCTAAGTTTGAAGTTAATATATAGATGGACAACCAGAGAAAGAACAAATTTTATTTGATGGCTATTTGGCAAAGATTAAGATACCTTAATTTTTGCAATAATTTCAAATAGGTCTTTCAGTAGTTCAATTAGCCAGGCTTCTGTTACCACCCAACTGTATAGCTAACAAGTCTATCTTTTTGTAACTACCAATATTATTGCACTCAAGTTTTGATGGTTAGCTCCATGGTTTTGCCCAGCAGCAATAGTCAATTTCTATACATAAATTTTGGATGCGGTAGTTTGGCAGAATCCCGATGTTGTCTGGTCTAGGCCTGACCCATCCCACTGCAGATTTTGTTGCATCTATAAATGTGTTTACTGCATTGCCATGACAGATATTCAAAGGTTGTTTCATGCCGGAACAGCCATGCCAATTATAGAGGCCATGCAAGATGATGATGAAGAAAACTTATACATAAGAAGCTAGATCTGAAGTCCATGGAACACTTACATAGGTACAGTTTAAGTAAATAGGATTAAGAGTGTAATAATCTCTGTACACTATTATTTATTACATTATACGGCCTTGAAGATTTTCATTGAAAAGAAAAGAAAGAAGACATCGTCATCTCATTAAAACAGATTATTAGAAACTGAACAGTAGAAATGCATAATACACCCTAGAAAATAGGACAGTGGCGTCGAGCCAACAATAGAATACTAGAATCTAGCTACAGAAATCAGTTTCTAAAAAACAAAATGAACAAAACAGGTTAAAAATTGTAAAAGTAATTTTATAAAGCAAATAAAGTAAGAGGGAAAGAGACCACTTGGAAGTGTTGAAATGCAAAAAACTAACCTGCACCGCTATTTAAATTTTCTGAAGAAGGATGTACACTCCCTTCCAGATTCCTTGAGAATTCTGACCCTGAAGACGGTCCTTGACTTGTTTCAGGGCTCCTCAATTCTAGAGAAGTCCGCTGACTTGCTTCAGGAATCCTTGTTGGCTGTGCTTGTGGTTGAGATGCTTGATCAATCGTAGGTCCCTGTGGTAGATTAATATTCACGGATGACACGACCACAAAATCATCACGTATTCCTTCAACATTACCACGTCCACGGCTCTTTCTACCTCGCCGACCTCTACCTCGTGCAAATCCTATCACTTCCTGCAACATCACATAAAATGTATAAATAAAGATTCAAATTTTGGGAAATATAAAATAATGAGATGTGGAGCCCAAGGACACTTGATGTCCCTTATACTAAGAAAGCAATAATCAGACATCAAAAACGGTAAGGCCGAAAAACAATAAAAAGCAAAGGTTAAGTCCATCAGAATTTTCATAGCACTAAAATACTTGCTTCAGGAATCCCTATTGGTTGTGCTTGTGGCTGAGATGCTTGATCAAGAGTAGGTCTCTGTGATGGATTAATATCTACGGATGACACCACTGCAAAATTATCACTTATTCCTTCAACATTACCACATCCACGGCCCTTTCCACCTCGCCGACCTCTACCTCGGGCATATCCTGTCATTTCGTCCCTACAACACCGCATAAAAGGAAAAAATGAACATTCACATTCTGTATATAGTATTGAAACCATAAAAATACAAATTAATGAGATGTGGAGCCCTAGAACGCTTGAAGTGCATTACACTAAGAACCCAATAATCAGACAGCGAAAACAATAAGGCCAAAAAAATTGGAAAGGAAAAGCTAACTACTTCAGTATATTCATAGCAGAAAAAGTTAACTGCAGGAAACTTATAACTCAATACATTTTTGGAAATTGAAAGCGGGAAAGTATTTGCACCGAGGCCAAAGTCCTTCCAATAGATTCCAGCAAATTGTTCACTCAGGCTCAAATTACTCTGTTATTTGGCTGAACTTCTTTGAGAATCTCTAAAGCCTTTGTAAAGGAGACAGTTGAATGAGACACGTTAGACAAAAGGGTAAACAAAATTGAGACATAATATCAATTTCTGAAAATCTTCTTCAGAGTATGGACTTGTTGTTATTAGGTTAATGCTTCTTATTGAAATTGTTTACTAGTTCTCTGTTATTATCCTGCTTTAACTGACTTATATTATCACTCGTCAAACTGCCACTAGATTATTTTTTGTTCAATTAATAACAGTCTTCAAATGATCTTTTGCAGATCAAATGAACACAAATTCGAGATCAAATAATAGCCCTCCAAATAAGGGTTAGGGTTTCCGAAGCAACCAACCCTCAGCAGGTTTTGGCACTAAAATAACAGAGCTAGGCTGGATTTATAGCTCGAGAAGCCCAATTCGAAATAAGTGTCGGAAGAAACTGGTGAAAATTTTTACATAGTAGAAGAATATAACCTATAATAAGACGAAATTAGATGAATGAAAAAGCTAACTTCTTAAAATACTTGGCTGTATTTGATGCTTAATACACACCTTTTAAGACCGGAGAATTGAGAGAAAGCAGCCTTCCAAGTCTGATTTGGTGGTTTTGGCTTTGAGAAGCCTTCGCTGGAGTCTGTGGTGACGACGAGCTGTTTATGGAAATTGGGGGCTTTTTTGGTTTATTTCATTTTCCTTTTTTAAAAGAAAAACGAAAAAGGATAGCAATTGGTGGCGACCTAGTCACCATAAATAGGTTACGTGGCGATTAAAGGTCGTTAGTAAAAGTTTTGCCCTCAATTTTCTTTTTAATTCTTCGCGGGAAGGGGGGAAACTTTTAAGTTTTAGGTTGTGTTTGGTATAACGGAAAATATTTTCCGTGGAAAATGTTTTCTTGGAAAGCAAGTAGTAATCTTATTCATTTTTCGGTGTTTGGTACACAAATTAAGGAAAATGACTTCTCAAAAGTATTCATAAATAATTTAAATATAATAAACATGAAGCCATAAACTTTCAAACTAACAACCTTCCGGACCCACAAATTTCATAAACTTTTGAACCGCTAAACTTTCAAAATCGCGAAATTTCGAACCCGTAAACTTTATAATTTCTAAACCCGTAAACTTCCAAACACATAAACCTCCGAACTCATAATTTTGAAACTTGTAAAATTTTGAGCATTTAAACCAATAAATAATAAAATTAAAAACTGAAAAATATATTTAAATTTATTTTTTTTCGGGGGGGGGGGGGGGGGTAGGGGGGGTAAGGGTAGGGGGTGGGCGCTGGGGGGGGCAGTAAAACGAAAAAAACAGAAATTTAAATTACAAAAAAAAAAAGTAAAATTTTTTTTTAGTGCGGAGGGGGAGGGTAGACAGAAAATAAAAACAGAAATTTAAAATTGCAAAAAAAAATTTTTTTTGCGGGCAGGGGGGAGGGGGGATGGAGGGATAGTAGGGTGGGAGATAACGAAAAAACTGAAATTTGAAAAAAAAAAAAAAAAACTTTTTTTTGGAGAGGGGATAGGGTGGATTGGCGAGGGTGGGGAAGGTTGAGAAGGAGCTTTGGAAAATGTTTTCCCTTCTCTTGCTAAGGAAAATATTTTCCTCCAATTGGAAGAAAATAAATTGATAAGGAAAATATTTTTCAAAACATTTAAGGCAACCAAACATGGGAAAATTGGAAAATATTTTTCTTCATACCAAACACACCCTTAGGGTGAAATGTTTTCCATGGAAATGAAAATGAGTGCTTTATTACTTATTTTTGTTGTTTGATTTGTGAGTGGAAAAAAATTCCGAAAAATATTTTTTAGTGTTTAGTTTGAAGTTAGAAAATATATTTTTAGGAAAATATTTTTTATGCTACTCCCCGCACCCCCGCATTCCCCCAAGTCCCCATATTTCCTTGCTTACCCCCCTCCCCTCCTTCTCCCTCCAAATACCCAACGTCTTCGTGACTCTATTTTTTTCTTCAAGAATTTAATTATTTTTCTAAATATTCACACAAACCCAAAGGAACTAATGTTTTGCTTTACATTTTTATGCAAAAAAAGTTAAAATTTGTGCTCCATAACTTAAAAATAAAAATACTCTTTTTTTGGTTGAAAAAGAAAGTACTCTTCTACAGCATGAAGATAAAGTACTCATTTTATCAAAATGAACGAAAATACTTTTTCTACATAATAAAAAAATACTCATTTTGTTGAAATGGAAAAAAAATTGTTGAAATGAAAGAAATACTTTTTCTATGAAAAGAAAATACTTTTTTTATTGAAATGAATAAAATGCTTTTTTATATCATATCATTAGTTGAAATGCAACCAAAAAAAATCTATCTATAACATGAAAAGAAAGTAGTATTAATAATATTTTTATTTAAGGTGGAGGTTGGGGGGCGGGTTTTGGGTTGGGTGTGAGGGTGGGTTTGATGGGAATGGAGAATAGGGTGTGGAAGGTTGAGAAGGAGTTTTGAGAAATGTTTTCTCTTCTCTTGGGCCAACTCTGGATAAATGAAATTTATTAAGCAGAGTGAGGGAAGACTTGTGTTGGAAAATTTTGCCCAAGTAATTGTTTACCTTTCGTGTCTAAACAATCGACCGGGGTGGGGGGTGGGGGGGCGCTAGAGGCCAATTTTGTCAGAAGATATGGACAAGTAGCCATTTTATAGACCGTTAATTAATATTGTAGGATTTATAGTCGTCCCTATATTTGTGCCACCTTTTAATTGTACCCTATTTTTAAATATTATTGATTGGTAGCCAGTTGCAAAAAAAATTCGTATATTACAATTACACCCCTGACAAAAGATATAAAACCTGCATCATGCATTAATCGCGTGATCTGCAACCTCATTCGTGAAAAAAGATCTCCCCCTCTCCTCGCAGCAGCTTTATCAAAAAATTAGAAACTTATCCAGATTCATCTTCAGAATCACACTTGCATGAAGTTGTTTCACGTTGAAGCGAAAACTTCATGATAATGTACCATGAAGTTGTTTCATGTTGAAGCTAATACTTCATGCTAATATAGCATGAAGTTGTTTCACATTGAAACTAAAATTTCATGTTAATGCGTGTTGAAGTTATTTATCCTGCAGTCTACAGTTTTGTCATGAGTTTTATCCAAAACTTCACTCTAAACATGCTGAAGTTATTTGGTTCATTTGCTAAAACTTCAGACAAAACATGCTTAAGTTTTTTAGTTCATTTGCTAAAATTTCAAACTAAACATGCTTAAGTTTTTTAGTTCATTTGCTAAAACTTCAGACTAAACATGCTTAAGTTTTTGTCTTGTAGTATTAAATTTTCTAATGAGTTTTTGTTAATGCATGCTGAAGTTATTGCTAAAACTTCAGACAAAACTTGCTGAAGTTATTTAGTTCATTTGCTAAAACTTCAGACTAAACATGCTTAAGTTTTTCAGTTCATTTGCTAAAACTTCATACTAAACATGCATAAGTTTTTGTCTTGCAGTATGTAATTTTCTAAAGAGTTTTTGCTAATGCATGCTGAAGTTATTTAGTTCATTTGTTAAAACTTTATGCCAAAACATGCTGAAGTTTTGTAATGCAGTCTACAATTTTGTCCTGAGTTTTATCCGAAATTTCAGTCTAAACAAGCTAAAGTTTTTAGTTCATTTGCTAAAATTTCAGTCAAAATATGCTTAAGTTTTTGTCATGCAGTTTGTCAATAGTCTTTTATCAAAAAAGGGCAAAGTCATCTTTTTAAAATATTTTTTAACCAAAAAAATGGGTACGGATGCAAACGGAAAAACAAAACGGATATAAGTTAAAAAGGGGCGACCAAATAAAACGCCCCATGCAATTTTACATCAATATTTAGCAAACCTTTCAAATTTTAGCCACTTTTTGTAATACATGAATACAATTTGGACAACAATTACCTCTAACTAAATCAAGGAAAAACTCCTGCATAGTTTTTGCATGAATTGCGATAATTCATAAAATGTCATACAAGATACAATCTCAATCCCTCTTTAATAATATGTGAATTATTTACTTATATGTAAGAAAAAGATGCAAAATCTAAATGGGACATTCATGTTACCATGCAAATCACATACACACATTCATATTGGGACATTCATGGGTCAGAAGAGAACGGATCCTCATCTTAAACCTACTGGGCGATCGACAGGGACTAGATCTATCCAAACATTATATATATCAAATGATACAGTATAATATAATAAAATACAATACGATACAACACAATATGAAACGATATATAACAACCATCCAAACAAGCTGGTTTAACGAAAAAACTGCTCGCCCCTAAAAGTATTCTTTTATTTCAATTTACATGGTGTAGTATAATTGAGTATGTAGCTTAAAAAGAACTCGTAGAACTTATAATTGGTTTTCTGAAATTACAAACACATGATATTAAGGCTCAAGCGAGAAATTTAAAATTAAATAATTTTCAAATGTAAAATAATTATTTTGGAAAAATCTCATAACTTTAAAAGGAGTAACCAACAATAGTAACTATAGTTCTTGTATCTTAAATGATCGTGTATCGCTTGGATTTTCTAGCTTGATTACTTTGGTTATGTTCAAGCTTGAATACTATCAGAGACATACGGTAAAAGTGGAAAAAGGAGGGAAAACAAAGTCTAATGTGCATATAACAAGGCAAAAATCCCCGAACCAATACTTGTTAGTTTCGACTTTCGAATGAAATCTAGAATCCTGACTTGTAGATTTTCTATGAATCAACAGGGTTTCTTTTGTAATTAGGTTGTTCTCCAAACCTCTGCTCGAGCAATATAATGGCTATGGGGTGCGCACGTGCACACAAGACGGACCAAGTAATTAAGCTTTCAGATTTATGCTTTTTTATTTAAGCTTTACTTATTATTTATGTTTCGGGTTGCACTATTCAAATGTCGCTTCATTTAAATTTATTCTAGTGTACTGTTATAAAAGCTTAGCTATTCTGAATATAAATAAGTACAGGTATTTCATCATAGTTTTAGGATCCAAAATTTGTTTCTCTTCGTCCTTTGACATAATTGTGATTAATAATATCAGAACCTGTTATGAGNTGCTCTACCCCGCGCCGAAGATAAGAACTGAAAACTAATAGATAAACAAGGATTAAATGCGCCCCTCCACCCTATCTGTACAAATAGAATAGCCCATTTATACAGAATGGTAAAGGGGCTTCTATGATCATCGACCATAGAAATAGAAATGAAGCGTTAATCCTTACCAACTTGATCTTGTTGCTCCTGGCAACAAACCTGCATGAACCATTTCACGAAGTATGTGTCCGGATAGTCCAAAGTCTCGATAGTTAGCTCTCGGCCTTCCGGTCAAAAAACAACGTCGATGAAGGCGTGTAGGTGCACTATTCCGTGGTGGGGATTGTAACTTTCCATAAATTTCCCATTTGTCACTCAACGACGGAACCTTGCTTATTTCTTTCTTTGAGGATCGACGAATCGAATGATATTTCTGTTCCAATTTTTGCCTCTTCTTCTCCCTCTGAATCAAACTTTTCCTTGCCATAATGGTTGAATTCCTATTAGTATCCATGATACAAGTCGAATCCTAGATGTAGAAATAGAAGAAGGTGGACCCCCTCTCCGTCGAAAGAAATGAGATTATCGTGGATACACACATTAAAAACTATTAATTGAGAATACTAATAACCGGTTTATCTTTTAAAGAGGTAGTTATAAAAAAATTATATAAGAATCTGCAGGCTATACATGTGGCCAACCACTTCTGGACATAGTAATTAAACATCTAAGAGAACAAACAAAAACATTAAAATGTTAATATATACATCATCTTAATCCATCTTATTAATTAGCAATAAATATCTTAATCGAGCTAATTATAACGTACCAGTACATATTTATCAAAAAGTTTTATTATATGGCTCATACAATTGACATTAGTTGTGTGAGACCTCTTTTTATCTCACAAATTTGTGGATCCATACATTACACTTTTGGGTCCACAAAATTATGAAACAAAAAAGAGGTCTCACACAACTAAGATCAATTGCACGAGGCACAAATAATTTTTTTTATATTTATCCACTTCCGAGCTCTAATCCGCTTTAACACCAACCAAGAAAAAAACTCAACAAGGTTCAATTAATTAAAGGCAAAATTAATCGCAAATTTGTCAATCAAACAAATGACTTGTAACATCGAAAACTTTATGGAAATGGTAGAGTAATTAACATCAAAAGGAAGCTCTCGATTAGTATTGAATTTCTTAAAGAGCATACATTTTCTCCTCAATTTTCTGAAACTTGAATTTCTTGAGTAGACACACAATCCAAATGGGTAGCACATTTACAAGCCAAACAATAATAAAACCAACAACTCTTCCCAACACCTCTTTGACAAACATAACACATCAAATCCACGTCCTTATCCTTCCCAAAAAAAACATTACTATAACACAACGTAAGAGGATGTTGATGATCTTTCCTCTCTTCAATCTCCGGCAACGAAGCACATTCAACATGAAGATCAAACTTACATTTCTCACAATGAAACGTAAAAGCATGACCCGAATTCCCACAAGCGTCGCACGTGAATTCTCCGTCGTCGTAAGGAGGAAAGAAGAGGAGAGTTAAAGTGTGTTTTGGGTGAGACTTGTGCTTAATTTGCCTTGGCAACTCGAAACAAGAATCGTGGAGGATGAAGTTGCAGTTCATTTTGGTGCACGCGTAGGCGGAGCCGCCGGAGAGATCGTGCTCGCAGCCGGAGCAGATGACTTGGTCCTCTTCTTCTACATCGGAGATCTTTAATGGGTGGCGATGGCTGAAATGGCTATAGTACTGTTCCATCGGTATCATCTCCATTATTGTTAGTTGTAACTTGTAACCTTTCTTTCTTGTTTTGTGAAGTCAAACCGTGTTGTATATTTATATTAGGGGAGAATTACACTTTTTGTCCCTCAATTATTAAAGATTTTGAAGTTTGGTCCTTATGGTTGGAACAAATACTACTTATAACCTTCAAATAGTATAGTTGTGCGCTTTTGGTCCTTCCAGTAACAAATCCATGTAAATTCAATTTATTTTGTAAATGTAAAATCATATGAATGTTCGTCTTTAATGTTAAAAGGAAGAAATGCTACTATAGTTTCATTTACTCTATTAATTGAAGATTACATATATTTAGTGAGATAGTACAAGGATCAAACTAGAATATGCCAATAATTAAGGGATCAAAATTATAATATTTTATTTTATTAGCCTTTAGTTATACTTTTTTAAAACCCAACTAAGTGAAATTCTTTTTCATCTGTTCCTTTTTCACAATGATCAGGCATAGATGGGACCCAACTCCTTGTGCACTAATGTGACACTAACAATTTTGTTGATCAAGTCAACCTTATGCCTTTACGTCATAGCGAAACATTCTTCAAGTTTGAGACGTTAACCTTATTAAATTCCTTGTAGCTTATTGTCACGTCTTTAGTAATTAACTAAGTACACGTGTGACACTTGACAACTCGCTCACGATCTTGCACAACTTGATCACATTCTTGCTATGCCAAGTCAGCCTTACTACACTCAAGATCGCTAAGGGAATGCTAGAAAGAACACAAGAGAATTGTTAAAGGAAGCTTTGTATTAGAGAGAACTTGAATCGTTTGCTTAGTGAATTACAAATGAATGACCCCCTTTATATACTAATCTCCTAGGGACTACTGTGTAAATAATAATTATTACACAAGTCCTTAATATTTACAAGATAATGGCTTTCTCTAGAATTCTCTACAAGCCTAGAAGATTCCAAGGACTTTTCTAGCAAATCCATAAGGATCTACGTTCTTCCTTAGGAAATGTCCATACTTCTCTAGAATCTTCTCACAAATGCTAGCCTTCTTCTTATGAAGCTTCCACATGGCATTAATATATGCCAACTGGCGCCTATGTGGCATGATGACATGGTGGGTCATCACACTCTCCCCCACCTAATATTGCGACGACCGCGGCGGAATGCTGCTGCTTAAACTCTCGGATCTTATCTTTGAATTGCCATAAGTCTTCATATCATTCCCATGTAGCCTCTTCCGGTGATTGCCCTTTCCAATGGACGAGGAACATAGCGGTGGCTTTTTGCCCTTGTTTTCGCCCGGCCTGGTAATCCATAATAGCCTCAATCTCCCGATCATGCGAGGCGGTGATAATCATAGGCACTCGACTTGATTGGCCCCTACTCGGATCATCCTTATCTTCATGATATGGCTTAAGCATGCTGGCATGGAAGACATGGTAGATCTTAAGATACGATGACATGTCAAGCTTGTATGAGATCTTGCCTACCTTGGCGACGATCTTGAATGGCCCCTCATACTTGCGAATCAGATTTTGATGCATGCCCCGTAGTGCCTTGAATTGTCTTGGGTTAAACTTCACCATGACCATGTCCCCAACTCTATAGTCCGTGGGACGACGCTTACGGTCCGTAAACTTCTTCATCTTCTTAGCTGCCCTATCCAAGTAGGACTTAGCAGTGTCAAGCTGCTCCTCCCATCTTTTGGCCATATGATAAGCCCCCAAACTCTTTCCCTCGAACGCAGCTGGTAATGAATATGGAGTTTGTGGCTGTTGGCCTGTGGCTAGCTCAAATGGTGTCTGCCCTATGGACTCACTCCGCTGCAAGTTATAAGAGAATTGGGCGATGTCTAGGAGCCTTGCTCAATCTTTCTGATGCGCGCTTACATAATGCCTCAAGTAGCATTCTAGTAAGGCATTGACCCGTTCCGTTTGTCCATCCGCCTGTGGGTGGAAACTAGTAGAAAAGTGCGATTCCGTGCCAAGTATGTCGAACAGCTCTCTCCAAAGAATAGCTTTGGTAAGCCTTGGTAAGCCCCACTACTTTACCACGTTCTTAAAGAATAGCTTGGCGCTTCCTTAGTTGTGCAACCCGTTGAGGCGGGCATGAAGGTGGAATATTTGGAAAATCTATCCACGACTACCATAATAGTACCATAACCGTCGGACTTCGGTAGGCAAGTGATAAAGTCCATAGTCACGCTCTCCCATGGACGCTCTGCAACTGGTAGTGGCTCCAAAAGTCCTCAGGGTTATTGTTGCTCAGCCTTGTCCTGTTGACGGACAAGACAAGTCTGCACATAGCACTCTATGTCATCTCGCATGCGTGGCCAATAGTAGACTGACTCAACCAAGGCCCTAGTGCGATGTTGACCTGGATGACCAGCCCATATTGTGTCATGACTCTCCCTTATGATCCGTCGTCTAATGTTCCAGACTTAGGTACATAGACCCACCGACCTGTGGTAAGCAGTAGGTCGTCTTCTATCCAAAACCGTCTCGTCTTGCCTTTGTTGGCTAACTTGATAAGCTGTTTGGCTGCTGGATCATGATGCATGCCTTCTTTTATAGCCTCTCGAATATCCCATCTTGGTGAAGTGATTGCAGCAAGCTCGGCTTTCCGGCTCAAGGCATCGGCTACAACATTACCTTTGCTCGGCTTATACTCAGCGCATAATTAAACTCGGCCAAGAAAGCCTGCCACCTAGCCTGTTTTGGTGTGAGCTTCTTCTGCGTCTGAAAGTAGCTACTAGCCACATTGTCGGTCTTGACCACGAACCTCGACCCGAGCAGATAATGTCGCCATGTACGAAGGCAATGCACAATGGAAGTCATTTCCTTCTCTTGCACCGTGTAATGTCGCTCCGTCTCATTTAACTTGCGGCTCTCAAACGCTATGGGTTGCTTATCCTGCATCAAGACAGCCCCAATAGCGAAGTCTGAGGCATCTGTGTGCACCTCAAATGTCTTGGCAAAGTCAGGTAACGCCAAGACTGGCTCCTCTATTACAGCTGCCTAAAGGCCTTCAAATGCCTTTTGACAATGCTCCGTCCAAACCCATGGCTTGTGCTTCTTTAGCAACTCAGTCAATGGTGCGGCCTTGGCTGAGTAGCCACTAATGAACTGACGGTAGTAGTTAACAAGGACAAGGAAGGATCTCAACTCGGTTACCTTTGTAGGTGCCTCCCACTTCTGGATAGCACGTACCTTAGCCTCGTCCATGCGTAGCTCGCCATTGCTAATGACATGACCCAAGAAGTGCACCTTTGATTGTGCGAACTCACATTTCTCCCTCTTGTTGTATAGCTCGTTCTCCCGCAAGACTTAGAAAACCTTCCTTAAGTGCTCCACGTGCTCTTCCAAGGTGTTGCTGTTGATGACTATGTCGTCTAGGTAGACTACCACGAACTGATCAAGGTAGGGATGGAAAATCTTGTTCAAAAGGGTGCAAAATGTGACCGGTGCATTGGTTAAGCCGAAGGGCATCACCAACCACTCAAAGGCTCCATATCTCGTCACACATGCTGTCTTTGGCTCATCCCCTTCCACAATGCGAACCTGGTAGTAGCCCTTTCGAAGATCCACCTTGGTAAAGTACTTGGCTTGCCCAAGTCTATCGAACAAGTCAGCAATGAGCGATCGGGTACTTATTCTTTACTGTTACCTTATTAAGTGCTCGGTAGTCTATGCACACACGCAACGATCCATCCTTCTTCTTCTGGAACAATACTGGTGTGCCAAAAGGTGCCTTTGATGGGCGAATGTGACCAGCATCTAGCAGCTCTTTCAATTGTTTCCTGAGCTCCTCTAGCTCTGGCGGTGCCATACGATATGGGGCAAATGCGGGTGGCTTAGCCCCTGACTCCAACTCAATCTTGTGATCCACCTCTCGCCTAGGCGGCAAGTGCTTAGGCAACTCCTCGGGCATGGCATCTTTGTTTTCCTCAAGCAACTTCTCTATGCAAGGCGGCACTATCTCTTAAAAATTCTTGTCTTCCTCTAGACTAGCAATGGTTGCCACGAACGTCGGCTCCCCCTTCTTGATTCCCTTGACAACTTGTATAGCTGAGACTTGTGCTTGGATCTGTCCGTGTGGAATAGTCACTGTAGGTACCATGCAAGCTCCTTCTCTCTCCATAACCAAGAGACGTTGGAGGTAGGGGTCGATCAAAGTATGACAATGTCTAAAGAATTCTTGCCCCAATATGATGTCAAAGATATCCATAGCGGTTACGGTAAAGTTTGTCATACCTTTCCAAGCTCCCAATTTGACACCAACTCCATTAGCTACCCCACGAGCATTCTATACCTCGGCATTCACGGTCTTGAAGCGAGAGTTGGTTGGAGCAAGCTTCAATTCTAGTCTCTTTGCGGCAACCTCAAACACGAAATTATGAGTTGCTCTAGTATCCACCATTGCACGAGCGATTTTGTTGTTGATGGTGAGATCCACGTACTGATTGCCATTCTCGGTAGGTTGGATAGCTTGCTTTGTGACAGCACCACATAATCCGATCATACCCAACTGTGCGGTTCCCGGACTCTCTCCTTGTGGTTGATGCTTCCGTTCACGGACCATGGCACTGAGGCTCTTGAGGTCAGGACAATTCCTGAAGTCGTGTGGCCCTCCGCATATATAGCATCCCTTTTTTTCGGCCTGCGCCTTCTTCTCAGCGTAGCCCTGACGGCCACTCCACTTTTTGGAATCTTGAGTCTTGGAGTATTGTTGTTGTATCTCCTTGCCTTTTCCACGGTCTCCCCCACCTTTGACATAGCTAATCTTTAATTCCTTACCTTTGCCTTTGTCGTGCTTGTCATGCCTGAAATCCATCAATGATTCAGCCTCCACTATGGCTTGGTCTATATCCACGACTTGCCGACGTGGTAACTCTTGTTTAGCCCAATTTTGCAACCCATTCATGAAGTGGAACAACAAGTCATCATTGGTCAGGTTGGGAATTTGAAGCATAAGGGTAGTGAACTGCTTGACATAGTCACGTATTCTCCCTGTTTGCTTCAACTCCCTGAGCTTACGCCTTGCCTCGTAC